ATGAAATACGTTTTTGTTTAGTTTTATTGTAGAATATATACATTGTGTCACGGAGGTCCATGAAATACGTTCATTTTCTCGATGTAAATCAATATCATTGATATCATTATAAATTTACAAACAAATATACTATCGAAAATCATTAAATATTCGATTTAATACTATACTTTAGATATCGAAAATCTTTNAAACTGGTATAGAACAAAAAAATTTGTTTAGTTTTATTGTAGAATATATACATTGTGTCACGGAGGTCCATGAAATACGTTAATTTTCTCGATGTAAATCAATATCATTGATATCATTATAAATTTACAAACAAATATACTATCGAAAATCATTAAATATGCGATTTAATACTATACTTCTGAAATCGAAAATATTTATTCTATATAAATTATACTGTCAAAAAATTGTTTTCGTTTTTTTCTCTCGGTGATTTTGAATTCATTCTCAAAATTTAAGATAATAAATGTAACTACACACTTTGTTCATTGACCCTAAGAATATAAGTTGAATTAGTTACTCAGTTTCTGGTCATGGAAATTAAAATTACATCATTTTAATATTTTTATATAAATAATACTTGATATACAATTCACATGAAAAAACGTTTATTGTTTCTTCGGAAACGCATATTGGGTATGATTATAGAAAACTCCTTGAACATCATGAACACTCAATATATTCAAAAAAATATCGTTGAACTTCACATAAACATTCCATCCGGACGAACTTTTGTAGACTGTGGGATAAACCAAGCTCAATACACTCCTTATCTCGGAATGTATTTATATTTTTTCACATAGAACGGGGTTCGTAAAAATAATAATAGTAAATTAAAATGTATAATTTTGACGTCAAATTATTTAAAGCATTGTTAAAAAATGTGGTCCAAGCATACCTGTAACGTCCGCAGGTTTGAGAGAGTAATTTATGAGTCAAAGTCTGGTAGAATGGCATTGGATTCCATTTTTATTTCAAATTGTAGAAAAACCCAAATTTTATCTTTTAAATCAAGAAAGGTAATAAATTTCAGAAAATACATCCGATACACAATGACCATTCTAGAATACACATTTTGGATCGCATATGTAAAACATATGTTTGTATGGCATCAGGAAACTTGTTATAATATTAATAATTTAACAATACAAATATAAGGTCATAAAAATAAATTCAACTGTATATAGTGTAACACTTAATACTCCACGAAGAGCCTATGTTTAACAGGATACAATTTATAATTAATAAATCATCTTATTTAATTTCNAACTCGTTATAATATTAATAATTTAACAATACAAATATAAGGTCATAAAAATAAATTCAACTGTATATAGTGTAACACTTAATATTCCACGAAGAGCCTATGTTTAACAGGATACAATTTATAATTAATAAATCATCTTATTTAATTTCAAATAAGAGGCTAGAAAATAACATATGTTTTATTACTGTATTCAAAGATAAAGCACTGAATACAAGAACAAATTTAAGGAGCGCAGCGACATTTGACACACTTATATTTTATGGGTGGAATGATTCGGATAATTGTAAACATAGATGTTCTTTTTCAATCCACATAAAATTTTATGTCAAACAATTTTTCTAATTATTATTTATTATTCAAAGGCTTACCTTGTAGTGGTGATCCAGACAATTTTCCAGATTCATTCTCAGAATCGCTCACTAAATATGAAATAATAAATTTCAAATTATTAAATATTGTTTGTCGTAGTGTATGGATAGTATGTACATGTTGTTGACCCGGAGTTCTCGAGTTCAAACACGAGTTAAACATTTTTTTTTCTGCCAAACCCAATCGGGCAGACTTTGTGGATAAAATGCATTTTGTTTTAAACAATTATAAAGTTTAAATCAAACTCTGACTAAAATTGTAGAGTTTACTGCTCGCCCATACCAAAATAAAGTTAAAAGTGGAGTATATCGTTAACGGGTTGACGATAATCCTAAATGTTGACACCATTATTTTTGCAAA